TATTTGGTCATTTGAGTTATAATTTTCTTATAGGACAATAGCTCTATCCATTAAGGATGTTCACAGAAGAATTTCTTGCTGTGTTGATAGATGAAACCACAGCCATGGAAGTGGCATAATCTCTGCTACCAAGTGTGAGCTTGCCTGCAAGCTACTAATGTACAATGAGCTGTCTGAGTTCATCCTGGGCCGGGCCCCAGAAGCCGGCGGGCAGGGGGATGGAGACTGCAGGGCCCCAGCCAAAGCGGAGCTGGCAGAGGCTCTGAGCGTCTTGCTGCCAGGTCCCCTCTCCGCAGCGCAGCCACCATCCCAGATCATGCAGCTGCGACCACCGGCAGCCCTGCAGCCCATGCAGAGTGGCCCTGGGCTGGAACTGAATGCAGAGAAAACCAAAGACCAGCCATGCACCGATCCTGACACGGGCCCAGCCTCAGTCCCCGAGTGACCATCTGCAAGCCCCGGCGAGATGTTAACTCTTTCAGGGCTTCAATCCAGCCTCGAGTAAGAGAAAGGAACAAGATGCAAGCATGTAAAGGAGCAACATGAAGACATCGAGGTCAGTGAGGAAGAAGGCAAGTCCTAGATGGGAGGGATGAGGGGATGCCTTAAACTTGGTGCTGAAATCCTCTTGTAATAGCTATAGGGAAAGACTCTTTTCCCCTGTAATACATAAAGGTATGGGGAGATGAAAATATTCAAATTTATATCGAGCAAAGGCCTCCATGCTAAAGTAAGCAGATGATAAAGTAGTTGTAATCTGTGAGAAGTTTGAACAGAGAGAGAGAAGAGTGATGAGACCCTGTGCCCCCAGGGAGAGAATAAGACCTCTGTTCCCAGAGATTATTTTAAAGAGAGATAATAAGAACTTTTGCCTTTGAACAGCTCATCTTTAAAACAGTTATTTCATAAGTTGACATGGCCCATAAATACAGGTGTGGGAAAAGCTTGTGGAAAATGGGAGGGTCTTCATGATTGCAGATTTCCCCAGGCAACTGCTATTTGTGACAAAATTGAGAGCCATGAGAGAATTTTTATTTCCTTGTGGAGAAGTCTCCATAACGTTAACAAGAGGGACTTCTCTCCCTAACTGAACTGAAGAAAGTCTGTTGTAGAGGTGGTAAACTGACTGAAATTTTAGGTTTTCTTTACATTGGCAATGGGAAGAAAAGGTTGTGGGGGGAGAAGTGTTCTGAAGCTTTTGTCCTGATTTTCATTACTCTTTCTCTTAGTTACTGTTAATAAATTTTTCTTTATACCCTTCTAAGGTTTTGAGCCTGCTTTGTATTTTTCCTAATCCTACCTCACAGCAAGGAGTGCATTGGTGATTGGCCAGCACTGAACCCACTACACTCATTGGTGCATTGGTCAGGAAATCTCAAAATTGGTGAAATTTCAAATTGGCGAACCGCAACCACTACCACTCCACAATGCACGGGGTGGGGTCTCTGGTCAGGATCATTACATTCCACATATTGATCCACATGGAGCTTACCTTTCCCTAAGACATTAGAGACTGTATGAAGAATACTATGTGCTTCTCAGACTTCATGTACAAGGTGAAATACAGTAGACATGGTCTGTTCAAGATCACTAGCTCCTCAAATAAAATATCTTCTGCAAGGTTATCAACATCCTCTCCCAAACCACCAGTGACCTCCTGCCATAGGCAAAAACCTGCAACTGTATTTTTTAAATCATTATTTTCTATGGGTACAGTGCTCTTTGCTAGATGTGTATTTTACCCACTAACAGGAAAGCTCACCCTGTTTACATCCTTCTGATACTACAGACAGGTTTACAGCCCCCACTGGAATTACTGATTCTCAGGGTAAACCTGCAAGTTTTAGGTCAATAGTCCTAACGTTGTATTATGGAGGAACATAAGAAAACATTCATCAGTCACTGAACTGCAGCGACTAACACGGACAAACCAAGCATAAGAGTGACTTCTGTTTACAAACTACAGAAAGGAAGGAGTCTCATGCCTTTTCACACAGGACAGGTGAGGCTGTGAATCTTTCCTCTGCCACCATAACCCTGGAATGCATTTGTCTCTTCATATCCTCACAATGGAAGAAGCCACTTCAAAAAGTAACAGACAGACAAATAAAAACCAGCCAGTGCTACACATCCTTAAAACAGTTTAATAGATATTTCTCTAACATATCACCTACTGCAGTATTAACAGTGTCAAATCACAAATGGAGGGTACTTCCTTGGTGTTTTTAAGTTACATTTCATCAGGGACAACTGCATCAAGCCCATTAGAACAAAGCAGGGAAGCTCTCTGCTGCAAGGCTCTACCCTTAAAATACCTCCTTGCCCATGCCTCAAAGCAGAGCATCTCTTCCAGTCTTCATAGCAAGCCATACCAGCACCAAATCAAGGCAGAATCCAAATTCTGTTTCTCATATCACATTAGTCACTGTGACAACTGATTCTTCTGCTCCAGCTGGATAGCCAAATCAGAGCTGACAGGCTAGCTAATACACTGAAAAGATTGATGTCTCAAGGTATTTTGGGATGCATGGCAGAGGAAGGCAGGGTAGGTAAGACCTTGCCCTGGTAACACAGTGAACTACCCCCTACCACTCACCCCTAGAGCTTGTATCCTAGCTCCACAGTGTCTGCCAGTCATCAGCACACAGGAGGTGTGCTCCACTCCTGCCTAACACAGCTTCTGATTTGTCAAATGACCAGAAGTTCCACCTGTGGGGAAGGCCCAAGAAGGCCAAGGGGTATTTAAGGCTTAAAATTAGGCCAGTGCACCCTTTGATCCTACCTTCCTCTTGGAATTTGTATCTGAATGCTGCTAGAATGCAGGAGTTGGCTTTTCTATATCTTTCATATGTGTGCTTTTCTATATATTTCCTGTCTTTCTGCTTTCTAATTCCCTCTTCTTGAAACATTTTGAGTAACTTAACATTGAACGGGCTTAAATCTGCTAAATTGAATGGGCCAAATTAATGCTTTGAGCAGTGTTTAAAATTGATTGGATGTTGTACTAAATCTTTTGCCAAAATTCCCTGTCTTTTTGCAGTTTGCCAGTAAACTTATGTCTTGTTTTGACCTTTTGAGAATATCTGGTCGGTGTTTCTCCCACGCATCCAACCCAGGGTACTTGAACCACTGTATAGTCCTTTTATTAGAGCCTTACACAGAGGTGCTTACACAGATACAGCTGAGGAGGAAAAGAGTGCACTGGCTGCCCTATGCCCAGACCGGACTATAGAGCCTGGCAGAGTACACTTAAAGAAACCCCTGAAGCTATGTAAGATTCACCATCAGCTTTCCATTTTATTTCCTAATGCATTTACTACCAGCTTCAACACAAAACACCAATCCTGATATCAAGTAGACCTGAGAGACACAAAAAAATTCAGAATCAACTGGTCCTAGACATTCCAAATCCCTTAAAAGAAGTGAAAGAGCCACTTCAAACATTATAGGAAAGTCCATCTCTACTGGTCAACTATCATTATATGAGACATTTCTAAAATGAAAAATAATAAACATTATTTCTACAAGAAGATGGTAAGTGAGCCAACTGGTTAAGTCTCTGCTGGACCTACTGTTTGTGAACAGTGAAGGACTGGTGGGAGATGTGACAGCTGGAGACCACCCTGTGCATAGTGATCATAAAATTATATAGTTTTTGTTATTTGGAGAAGGAAAGGGATCAGCAGAAATGCTACCTTGGACTTCTGGACGGCAGACTTCGGCCAGTTTGGGACACTGGTTGACATAATCCATTGGAAGGCAGTCCTGAGAAAGCAAAGGGGTCCAAAAAGGCTGAACGTTTTTCCAGAAGGAAATTAAAGGCACAAGACCAGGCTATCCCCCATTGGGAATCTTGTTCTGGATATTTTGTTGAATTAAATTTTCTGTACCAAGAACTTGGGAATCTCTTCAATTAATATGCCCATGCTAAGAGAACTGTTAATAACTTTTCTTAAAAAAAAACTACTAGAAATCCTGGTTTTAAGAAAGAATGTACTGATGCTTTACCCCTACCCCAGAAAAAGTCCTTATCTGACTCTTATGGTTTCATATTGAAGCTGCAGTTTCCCCTGTGCCATAAAATGTCCAGCTTCAATGGGGTGATTTAGAGGAAGTGCAGGAAAAGAAAGGTCCTCCACCCCATGCCAAATAAGGTTTTAGCAGAGTTTTGTACATGCTGAAAACCTCCAAAGTATCTGTTTATCTTCAGAATACCTACGATTAAGAACTAATCAAGACTTAAGAGGTTTTACTGAATAAGTATACAACAAAAAGCAGAGTTAACAGCACAGACAATGATCTATGTGATGACCAAAATGTGTCTCCTATTTAATAGACAGGCCTAAGTAGACCTGCTACTTACAAGGTATCTCAACAGGGAAGGAATTTTATTTTCAAAGTCCAGGAGACATCCAGAGACAGAAAGCTTTAGTTTTGCATTGTCAAGATGGCTGTTCTTTGAAAACAGTTCTGGGGAAGCAGAGGTACTCTCAGGATTGCAAAGGTCCTGAAACCTGCCTTGCTTTGAGAAATACTCCCAGAAGAGTAGCAATTTCAAAGGAGAAAATACCTGCTACAAGTCCAAAAGAATGATTCCTCTCAGACCAAGGCTCCTGCTGGCCTCATGAAAAGTTCAACACAGGGGCAGTGCCACATCAAACACTTCAGAATTGCCATTGCAGGTGCTACTGATGTCCGAATTGCGATGTGCCAGCTCAAGGAGTTAAAGCTCTTAACAGTATTCACTGTCTGCAGGGAGTATGCTACAGACAAAAACTCACACCATTCCAGAAAATACCTTCTTCCTTGTGCAGCTCCTCTGCTCCATGGCAGTACTGTCAAACAGTAGCAGACTAGGTTAAGAAAAAACAATTCAAACTCACTCTTTCAAAGGCAGAAAGATACTTATTAAGAATATGAAGATCAGATCTTACTATTCTACAAATTTTGCTCTGTCCTGTTAGCATCTCTGTATTCAAAAGAAAAGACAAAACATCCAGTTTTGGTCAGTAAAGTGTCCATTTAATAAACTCCTTAGCCACATTTCTCACCCCTTCTTCCCCCCATAAAATTTCAATTTGCACTTAAGCAGATGACACAATTTGATGGCGTACAACTTAAGTTTTTAAATTTGCACTCTTAATGCTAAGAGTATCAGGGGCTAGTATTTGACGAAATTACATAGAAGTCAGATGTGCCCATGCAAAAGAAGCTGATCTTTATATACAGTCCCTATTTTCTCTTATAAATTTAAATATTTTTAAAAATGTATTTTCAAAACATATAAAGTTTAGGGGATACCCCAAATGTATCTTAAAATAAAATGCTTTCTGGTTTCAAAGGTTATTTCAACAATGAAAACTAAATTGCACCAGATAAAAGGCACTTGTGTTGTGTGATGTCTTAGGCAAGTATATGTTAGTTTCATAACAGTGTTCTTGCATTCATGCAGCTGTCTCTGAGCATCAAGCATCATTAAAGCAGCCAAAAGAGATCGTGAGTAAACTTGATTCCACAGTTGTAAAAACATACAGCATTGTGCTCCATCTTTGACTCTAGAATCAAACACTACTGAAAAATTGCTGTCATTCACATGGGAATTCAAACTACCTTTCATTCTCTCATAAATTACAAAAAGTATGTCATTTAATTATGAAACTAAACCACCAGTGAATAGCTCAGTGTTCAAATAGTTTGTGCCACTGAAAGTCTGTATTTATAAACAAGCTAGGGACTAGTTATTCAAGGAGCAGTGCATTGTATTTTCAATTTCCATTTCACTGTTGAGATAAAAGCGCAGTCCTATTTGCCTTCATCTTCTCCAGCCTCTTCATTAAATGGCTATTGGTCATCTCCATTTCTTCTATCTTATCCAGTGCTGTTCTTAGCTATAAAATGGAAAAAAGTTATTATCACTTTAGTTTATTTGGACTTTGTGCTGTTCTCAAGCTTGGTAAGAGGAATAAAAATATTGTTTTGTAAGTGTGCCACAGAAGTTAAGATAAAACTTCCATTATTGCAGGCAGATGAAACATAATTAAACTCTTTAAAATAATTGTGAAGCAACTGAAACATGAAGTGTATTCATTCTAAAAGAACTAGGTGACTGCAACCTCCCATTACATTAAAGCAATTTACCTAGAACAAGGTAAAGTACTCTCCACCATTATTACTTGCATAGAGATATGTATTCCCATCACAGGTAGCAGGCATCATGCTAGTGATGCAGCAGCTCTTAAGCAAGAATGATCAACAGCTCAGTTAAATACAGCTTCTTCCCAGAAACCTGTGAGATCCTGGAAAATTCCCAGGCTGTCACTTGACATAGGGACCATTCATCTCTCTAGCAATATTTTGTAGAAAGATTACTTTAAAATATTACAAGTTATCACATTTAGAAAAAAATACCACTTAGATGCTTCCTTTCAACAAGTACAGCAGTGAATCGTAGTTATCATTATTTAACATGCTAGATATCTTCTGAATGTCATATTGAGACTTGAAGGTCATCTTAAAAAACAATTAAAAGATGTAATCGAAGATTACAAGAAATCAGAGCTTGGAGGCAAAAGACAGCACCTCAAGACAGAAAGGAACATACAGCTGGGAAAAAAACCAAGTCAGTTACCTCTCGCTGAAGCTTCCTTTTTTCAGCTTTGAGTTCATCTTCTACTTTTTCTGCATTTTCTGCTGCATTTTTATACCTTGCAACCTGTCCCTCAAGTCGTCCAATCTGTAAACCCAAACAAGACAAAAAGGAAGATATTCAGGTGGTCCACCTGGAGTTCACCTGCCACCAGCTGCTCTTCCAGAGACACAGCTGAGAAGACACAGTAAGTTAAAGAACTAAGCAGAGACAAGAGTTGGAATACAAAAAATTAAGAATTGAGAAACACATGGGATTTAAAATGAAAGTGAAAAGTTGAAAAGCAGAAACTGTATGAAAAGATGCAAAGTAGAAAGCAGACTGTGAACTGTTATCAGGACATGATGAAAGAGGTCTTGAGCCGAAGCACAGAGTTTAGCAGTAAGGAAAGGACTTGAGACAAATCCTGATTGCAACCTGCAGATGTTAAAACCCACTGGCTGGATTGTTCTATGTACAGCTCCCTGCTACCCTTAAATCCACATGATAGGCAACTAGACTGAATCTGTGCAAAAGAGAAAAGATACGCATCTATGATTTAAATTACAATCTTTCATTTAATTTTTTTAGGAAATAAGCTGTAATTAGGTTCCTAAAATATGAAAGTATAGCAGATTATAAAGAATTGAAGTTACTAGTCCAAGAAGACCAATTTATGTAACCTAATTACTCATAAGAAAGTTGTATTGTCAAAGGTACCAAATTTACTCTCTGAAGTTTAGAGTTCTACATCTATGAAAACAGTCACACTTAGTAAGTCAATAACATGGTTTTATAGCTCAGCACCATAAGATTTGCTCTTATGGTTAGGCTGTGCACAGGTATTAATTTGCAGGAAATATGAAAAAATGTGGTGTCATTCTATGTAAACTAAATATCAAACAGTAAATCAAATGATGAAATACACTTTCTAGTTTTTGTTGAAAAAAGTATTGCAAAAGTGTGCAGTGTAATAACAAACATGAAAAAAGACACTTACATTTTGTTCCAAAGTAGTTATATCTTGTTCAGCTTTTGAAAGCTTAAACTTGTATTCACTAATTTGTCTGTTGGCATCTCCTAGACAAAAATTGACATGAATGTGTTAGTCAAAGCAACTCTCTAGAGTAGTAGTTTCCCTTTTAATTAAAATTAATTAAAAATACCATTTTATTGAGAAACCCATACCCAGGATCACAAAGAGGTAAATGTTCTTTCAGCAGTCTACAAGAGTATGGAAAGGAAATAATTTTGTTTTATTTAGAGAACACAACTGCTGTCTCTATATAATGGGCATTAAATCTCAGGTGCACCAATGAGATACACACCTTTTAAAACACATGTTTAGATCAGCAAACTAATTCCTTGGAGAATAGAATCAATATAATAATCAACACACACTGCAAAATGCCAGACCACAATAAACATAATATCAGCAGCATTCAGCTTAGACATCTGTAATAATATTTGAATAAGGATCACAAGGCTTGAACCTGACTGACAAACTCTAAAGAGCTTTGCAAATTATTTTGGTGTTACATTTGAGCCCTCACATTGCCAGTGCTTTGTTCATGCTCATTAACACAAGCATATTAAATAACAGTCTGTCAAACAAGTAAGTTTTCAGCTGAATAGCTTGCTTGAAATGAAAAGCATCCTATGCTTCTATGAAGCCACATATTAAGTTAAATAAATTTTCATTTTTTGCTTCAGGACAGTAGTCTTCTAGATTAGGTTTCTATATCAAACATTGAACAAAATAATCCCATAGAATATGTATTTTTAAAAAATCTTATCTGAAATTCTATTGTCTAAAAATTGTATCCATGTAGTGTCACCCACTCTAGGCAAGGTTATCAACTTGAAAAATAACTTCCCAAAATGTTGTTCTTCAATACTGAAAGAGGCAGATTTTTAAGGTATTCTACAGTGAGAAGTCCATACAAAGACATATTCCAACAAAAACCTATCTATACAACAATATAGCCACTCACAATACTACTAGTGTACAACAAGAGGAGTTGAAAGTCCTCTCTGCAAGAAGAAAAACTTTGAACAGTAACCATATACCTACTTTGCATTTCAATTAGCTGCAAGTCAGAGCCGTTTTCCAAGTCTATTGTATCTGGATTCATGCTATCACTTTTAGAGTATTTCTGTCGTTCTTCTTCTAACTGCATCTTCAGTTTTCTAACCTGAAAAAGGAAGTATTTCTTTATGAAAAGAAGACTCTCAGAAGTTCAGTAGTTCTGTATCTAAATGTTCAATGGTAAAAAGGCAGAGTAGTCCTGAGATGCCACTGGCTGAGAAGGTTCTGTAAACAAGAATAGCAGAGCGATCCAGGGGAGTCACTCCCTGAGGTCTGTGGCTGTAAGCTCCCATCCCCCATCACTGGGCAAGCGCCCTCTGCATGTCAGTGCACAATCCAAGCCCACCGGTTGGTCAGTACTGCAGGGATATCTGCACAGTGCAGGAGCACCTTATAACTAACACTTTTCGGAAGAGGAGATCGTATTAAACTCCATTTATGGATTTCCTCCACTGTGTATCTTTTCCCACTCCAAACACACACAATGATATTGAACACTATCCTAGTGAGTTTACAGACAATAATCCATGGCTTTTTTTAGGGGGCCCTCTCTCATACTCCACCTGGAAACAATGGCCCTAGGCAAGTCTGGTAGGGCACATTAGTTTTTAATAGTTCCATTTCATGCTACAGCAGTTGTCTCTCAGTTTTTCCAGTAGTCAGGGAACATAGATTTCTCAGCTATGTGCCCTGCGTATGGACATTATGAAAGAAGTAGGAGCTACTTTTTGGACACTCTCATAAAAATATTGTTCTACAGATTAGCAGTATGTGAGTTAACCCGCAAAACCCCATTCATGATACAAATCAAATATATGATCAGTAATTTTTAAATTATACACTGATAAATATGTGCTTACATATTTATATATATTTAATATTATGACTTATTGGCAGTCCAAAAAAAATCTATACTATAATTAAGGTTCATTCACAGCAATCCCAAATGTTGACAACAATGGTTTAAATTTGCAATGTCTTCAACTAAAAAGCCAAGAACTTAGTAGTAGTGTTCTTAACAATTGCTCAATGGCTATGTGTTTGCTTGAGTCCTTTCTTCTCAAAACAGCTGCATTTAAACACAATTATTTTAATAATATTTTCTCTGTGAGTTACCAAAACTATCAATGAAATAGTATCACTCAGCAATTTTCAAGAAAATGCCACTTGAGCTTATGAGAGTGTAATTGTACTGACTTTAATATTTCTGCATAACACAAAATAAAAGAAAGAGCTTTAAAGATATGCACTAATAGCAAAGTCAGGAACAAGTTAGAGTTCAGCTAACCAGTGAAATGACGTTTCTTTACCAACCAAGATCAAAGACCCAAGGATAAGGACATTAGCAAGAGGAACTGCTAATTCCTGGTAGTCACTGAGGTAAAAACTTGAGTATTTTGTTTTGCTTTAGTGCTTATATATTTGATTAAACACCTTTGTGCTTAACATTTGTTTATTACTTATATATAAATAGGCTGCAAAATGATACACAAAGGTCTACTTCTAAAATGAGTAACTTATTTTACCTGGGACAGTAATTCCTCCTTTTCTCCAGCCAGTTTTCGTAGCCTGATATCTAAAACCAAAGAACCCAATTAAAAATCAGAAATCTGTAACTAAGAATATGTTTTCCATAACTTTTTGTTCCATGCCAAATGAAATGCTCATCAAAGCTAATAGCACTGGGACCACAAAACTTTGATACTTCACTAATAACACAACAACTTTCAGTTAATAGCAGAAAAAAGGGAAAAATCCATTCACACTTCATTCACACTGTTTATTAGTATAACGACTCTAAAAGCAAAATCTCAAGAGTTTAATAAATCTTCAGAGCAAATGAACAACTGATGATTTTTTTTAATACTAAAACAGTTTTGTCCCAATATCTAGAATAGCCATTTCCAACAAAAGTTTTTTCTGATTGTGTATTCTTTTCCCTGTCTTATTTGAAGGTTGTCATCTCTTCAGGGAAGCCACCAAGCTTCCCCGTATGTTTAGAAAGTCTGCAAAAATGGTTCCCAAATGACAAAAAAAGTACCTGGAAAGGGACCCACAGGAATGCAGCAGTATCTCTACTTATTCACAAGATCAGTAATGACTACAAGCCATTGCTACAATCAAGCAACTAAGACTAGAGCAGCCCCCTTAGAAATTGTAACTTTGACAGGAATTAAGCATAATAACATTGTATTCCCCTGTGAGGGAGCCACAGCAGAAATACGTATCAAGTTTAGTTTCTGTCAATATAAAAATATGTAACTATTATATATTATGTACAAGTAAAATTCAATAATATAGATTTTTTTTCTACATGTTAACAGAGTTTTACAGTGGATTGACCTTGCATACAATAACTTGCTCAACCTAAGCATAAAAGCAAGTTCAAGTAACTTAACCCCAAAACCCTCAATTAGTGTCTCTGTTGTCCCTGCCATTTTTTGAATGCTTTTAAAACTTCTTTTTCTAATGAATGTGATGGAACACTGCATTTGATGTTCTTTCATTGACTATGTACACTTCTAAAGAATTATTTTCATGAAACACAATGGAAAACATACTAATCCAAAAGATGACGCTTTTAAGCAATACGTTTTCTGTTAGTATTAAAACAGGAACTGAACCAAGAGAACTAATCTGTTTCAAACATCTAAGCACACATTATTTTTTCTTACTCAAAAGATACATCTGTCTATTTACTCAGAACAAATAAAAATTAAAATCAATCCTGAAAGTTGTGTAAGCATATATTCCAGAAGCATCACAGGTCCTTGCATCTGCAAATGTAAGTCAAACCCACTGTGAATGAGAAGAAACAAAGCCTTCAAAAACTCTATAAAGTATTCTAGGACACTTTTACCTAGTGGTCCTTCTCCTGCAGATTCCAAGACTTGAGCAGCTTCCTGTGATACAACCGTTATTGTACCAACCACTGATTCATGGTTTAGATCACCATTTGGTGTGCCATCTGGAATTATAACTAATCCATGTTTCTAAAAATGCAAAACAAAAAATAAACTAGTCAGACAACAGAAGTGCTAAATATAAATCAACATATAAATTTTTAAAGAGCCTTTCAAGTTCATTGAAACAGTTACAATGATATGGACCATTTATCCTACCCTAAGGTCAGGTTTTCAGAGTGCACAATAGTAACCATTCTTCCGCCTTTTTACTGACCTTGATTCCATGCCCCATTCCTGGATTTGTTACTGTAAAGTAACTACTGCCAACATACCTGTCCTCTCTTCATTGTTTCCTTCAGGTCAGCCAACTCCTCTCTGAGCTCATCTCGCTCATTCTTAATGCAGTCAAAGTAATCTTTCTGTCTTTCTAGGGCCTGGGCTCAGGCAGATAGCAAGAAAAAGAATGGCACAGAGAAAAAGCATATGACAGCAGAAAGATTTTCTACAAGTAAATACAAATAGCTCAATATAAGTAAAGAAATTAAATGTGCTTTTTAAATATATAGTAACATACAGCCCTGATAACTGCCTTCTACAAGTTGCATCTAACTTCATGCTACATTTGTCATGATTTTTTTTCCAGACAAGTCTTAGATTTTTTGACAGATTTTCTTACTCAGTGAATTCTATCCTTTGGTAAATTTTGATAAACTAAATTGAGTACCAAAAGAGTAAGTGATTCTTCTTCATACAGGCACTCTGCAGCAATAAACAAAATTTGCTGAAACTCAAATGGCAAAGATCCTAAAACATTACATCTATTGAACTAATTTATCTGCCTTTTATAAGGTACAGAAGTAGAAATCATACATCATGGAAGAGCTTGAATGTATCCACTCACGAATACTAGTATATTTACTAGTTGCTTAAGGGTTACAACACTATTTACTAAACCCAAAGCAATCCGTTTTAGAGGAAAAAAAAAGCAGCAAACACTAGCAGCACTATTTTAGCAAGTGCAATATGAGTGTAGATAGGTTTGCCTAGCTAAGCTGGAGAGGTTACCTGGCACTTAGTTGGACACATTTACTTGACTGGGCAGCATACAATACTGCATGAATTAAAAATAATCATCATAAAGCAAGTGCAAAAGTATACATACAGTTTGGTCAAGAAAATGATCCAACTAAACATTATGCTATGCATGAATGTGTAGGAATGGACTGATACCACGAAAGAAATGAAGGTGTATATATTTGTACTGTACTTGCCTCATGTAATTTCAGGATGCTATATTTTAATAATAATCTAGAATCTGTATACTAGAGCAATATTTTGAAGCATTACTCAGTTTCAACAGAAAATTTTGACAAGTGCTGTTGCACTTGATTTATTCATATGTAAATGTAACATTTAAAATAAAGGCAATTCAACATGTGTGAAAACAGTAGCTGACGTCTTCATTTTAAAATTTGTAATATGTCCTTTTATTTCCTAGCACACACTAGATCTCTAACTACATTATAAATAGCATGACGAACCTTATCATTATATAATTTTGTGCTCTACTTAAAAGACACATATATCTTTTTAATTTTTGAAAAACAGTGGAAGAGATAGAAGGGCAAGTAAGCTCACCACTAGAGAGAATTGACACAGTGGCCCAGGATCACAGACACAGACTGTGTGTACTTGACAGTGTCCTGTGATGATGCTGACCTTCCCCAAACATATTTTCTATCCTTACTCCCTAATAACACAAGTGTTGGAAATCAGAAAATTCTGATGGGGGAGGAAGTGAAACTGATATAACTATGTATTTCTACCTACGTAGCTCAAAGTAATCATTATTCAAAACCAGTAAAAATCCTAGTGTTTGTACACTCAGGGTTTAATTTAATATGACATGGATTTTGCACAAAATCTGCCTCTGCAATTCTTCTGTTGGGGCAGGAAGCAGAAACAGGACAACAAAGTTCTGCAGACAGATTTTACCATACTTATATGAGCAAAAATCTGATAATATGCCAGAATCCAGAGATGTTTGGAATCCTGTTTTCTAAATATTCCAAAAGCCTTTGTAACTTTTATACCAAACTAAGAGTTGCGATTACTAAATGAAAATTTGGAGCCACTAAACAGTAGAGTAACTGTGTGTTTCAGGAATATAACCCAATGTTGTAACTCGGTGTCCTCAAACTGATCTAATTTAAGATCAAATATAACCACAAATTTCAAGCACTGTAAAAACAGGACAACATAAGAAGGCAGGTGTAAAACAAAGTTCTGCTATTTTGTTCTGTTTGCCTCCCTTTCTTTTTATGAAACAGCTAAAACGTCTTATATGCATTGCAAAATTCGGTTACAATTTTAGTTACAAACTACATTGTGAAGCTTTGCAGAGACTTCTAAAGCTGGAATAGAGTAAAAATTAGCAATAGGAGGGAAAAAGACTCAAAAACTGTGAGCTAACAAAAGTATGTAAATATTTTTAAATATGAGAAAGAAGAAAGCTGCATTTTTACATTTTCTTCTCTAAGAGAGTTCAATTCTGAGAATTAAAAAAAAAAATACTGACTAGAAAAATAACCAGTTATGGTGTTTATAAGAATAAAAACTGGCAGGGTAATTTTGGCTAAAGGAAAATATATCTATCTTTCTTGTCATTCTGGCTGGTAGGTATATTTGAATAGAGGATATACTCATACTAATTCTGGCAATGTATTCAAAAGCGCACAAAAATATTGCACGAATTGAGACAGTCCAATATACAAATGTGAGAAATAAGTATGGAAAGGATAGGGTAAATTAAAGATAAAAAGCTTTCAGAAGAATGTGCAGAAAACTTTAGAATGTTGAAATTTTTTTATGATGGAAGAGAAAGACTGAAACATGAAAAAAGGTAAGACAGCATAGTTTTTGAACTGGCCACCACCAGTTAAAAGGCAACTTTTCAAGGTGACTTGAACTCCAGTAAATAAAACAATTTTCAAAGAAATCTGCATATATTGCAATATGGTACAAAATTCAGGTGGAGAGAAATAACCCCTGAGCTGTCAAGAGCAGACAATTAATTTTTAAAGACTTTCCAATCAACTCCCTGTTGCCACCAGGCAATCTACTTGTGCTCCAAAACAGCCACAAGTTCAGAGACATGTTGTCACCACTGATGGTAAGGCTGACTCAGTTCTACAACTTCTGCCTGCCCAGAAGCAAAGCTGACAAACCCTGCCTGACCTACATTAGCTGCATAGTATCAGCACAGTTCTTTCTGTACCACCCTCTTTCCTATACATGAACCTTAGGGATGCTCCTCCAAAGGTCACATACAACCATTGTTTCAATTATGATTCTCAACACCCGAAGTATTTCATGTATCACATCACAAAACTAGCTTGGTTCAGTGTCGCATCCAAGCTAAGCAATTCTGCAAGTATCAGTAGTACAATACAGAAATGCGCAAGTTGGTTGCAGAAGTCAATTCAAGATCATATCTTTTACCACTAGGCATGCCATCAAAAATTTTGCAAAAAAATTGTAAATTTGTATGTGTAACAGTTCATGTTATAGATTTAATTAGTACTACTTTTCATTAAGCAAGTAAAGTGTGGCTCATTTTCTGAAGAAAAGAAAGACTGCAAAACATTTTATTTAAGTTGGGAGTGGCCTTAATTTCTTTGGAGTACACAGAATTCCTTGGGGTGTAGAGGGCATCCATCTACTTCTAAATTTAAAAAAACAGCTTTCCTCCTATATTTCATGCATACCCCTATTTTTTTATCTTTCCAATTATTTGTCTCCTGGAGATGAAACACTTCTTTGGTTATGGAGTCTATATTCTCCTGCATACGTTGATTCGCCTGTGGTAAATAGGATGAGGGAAGAATAAAAGAGGAAAGAGAAGTAAGGAAATGGAAAAAAAAAATCCCAAACATTAAAATAGATAAAGGAAACTAAGTATAAAAGTCAACTGAAGAGTTTATTAGCATGAAGTTACAGAAACAGTGTGCAGTTTAATGTAATGTATTTCTCATTAATTCATGCAAGAGAATGCTATTTAATTCTATTCAACCACTGCTGTTGGGAAAACTTACTGCAGCTAGAGTTACTTTTCTTTAGTGACTTTTCCCACTGCAATCTGTGGATAGAAACAATTACCCTGCTGTACTTTCCGGATACCTTCAAGTCCTCTTTGGAAGTGAATATTAATGTTAACAACTGGTTTTATTAATTTTTTACAAAATAATCTTCTTGAAAGTATAAAGAAGGGAATTTGAATCAAACATCCAGGAAGCAAAAGACAATTGCTGACTGCTTTCTGATGCTATGTGAATACGTATCAAGTGTAGTCCTACTTTTTTAGCTGACTATCGCTGCATTTTGTCGCTTCCCCTGCAAACATAATTAAATGCTTAGCTATGAAGACGACGTAAGAATTTTAAGGGCTAGAGACAACTTTTTTCTTTCTTAAGGAGTGAACTTGATTTTACATCTGGGAACAGAAGACAGCAAAAAGCTACATGTCTTCAGCTAGATTTTGTTAGTGTTAATAGATGGCGAAAAGACACAATAGGTGGTAAATATGGGTCAAATCTTCAAAGGGACTGGATGTATTAGTGACTATTTGACACATGCTACATTCTACCAAAGTAAACACTCCAGAAAAATCTACTGTATATTCTTGGTTTGTATACTTAAACCCCACCAAAGCCCCAAACAAGAACGTGCAAAGCTGTTGTTTAATTCTCAGTGAAGTCAAAGATAACTTAGAGCAAGCAATAGAGACACAACAGAACTTTTTAGGGCTTTTACTCGTCAGCATTTATGCTAACTCAAAATGCTGATACTTATGATAATCTTAATCCTTTTCTTCTGCTATTAACATATCAACTCCAGTTCATGAAGCAAAAATACTTCTAAAACAGAACTGGGACTTTTCAGAAACCATTTCAAGTTACAGTACTACCACCTAGAGAGCACAAGAATATAGTGAAGAAATAAAGCATCAATGAACTATTACACAGCTTTTGAAAATGACAGTAGGGGACTTTGGCCTATACACTTAAAAATAATCAATTTTTACTGCAATGAAGAGACAGTGGGAAAATTATGTAATAACTGAAACTACAACTTCCAACTAAAATAATTGGGAAATGGACATCCATATACTGCTGACAATTCATATATGTATCTCTTTTTGGACCATTTTAAAATGAAGACTGGTAATAGCTCTGGGATTTCAGGGTGGGTGGGTTTGTTTCCAGAAACAAAAGGGAAAAGGGGAAAAAGAACCGTGTGAGAGGGGGAAAAGAACACACTGCACACCCAGCAACAAGGTTGTGGCCCAATAACATGCTGACCAGTGTTGCTGTGTATTATGCTTGACTGGTAAGCAAAGAAATATTCAGTATGGCAAACTTCAATTGTTGATACTCATAAAAATTAGAAATAACTGAAATGGAAACTTTTGGGAAAGGCAAAGAATAACATTTCGTATTATCCATGCATCAGAACTTTTAGCTATGGAAAATTATTTTGGCCACACAAATATTAATTCTTCCCTCACAACAAAGAAAAGATACCAGGAACATTCATGAGAGAACCACAATTCTCACAGGAATTAAAGGCTTTGCAAGATATAATACATTTGAAAACGAGACATTTTCAGCTTCATAAATTTAGGAGGATCAGTAGCTTAAATTCTACCCACTAAAACAAGATACATTATTTATTAAAAATGCAAGATAGTATTTAATCCTGTTTTGTGTATGATTCCCATTCAAATCTTACACCTTATTTACTTGCACAGATTCTATCCTACACTCATATGAACATACCTCTATCAATTCATCTCTCTGTCGAAGGCCCTCTTTAAGTTCATCCAGCTTATGCTGCAGAACACTGCAGTTGTGTTTCTGTCTTTCCAATTCCTGTATTAAATAAATAAATTATTTATATTTATTTTGAGTTATGTAAGAAATTACTGCAAGGATTTGAGAAATTATACCTACCAAGCAGTTAAAAAACCACTGAAGTGGTCTAAATAAGTTGTCCAGACACTTACTACACAGAAGACTTTATTTAATAAACTGTAGAGAGAAAAAAAGCCATAAAGACTTAAGCCCAATACTAACAAGTAAAGCTACTCTGAATATTTCCAACTGTTCTTACTAAGTAGTCTAGATTTATGTACTTTATAAGTAGAAAGAAAAATACCTTTGACTTCTCTTCATTCTCCCTATAGAACTCTGCTATCTGTTCTTCTTTCTCCTCAATAACATCCTTTAAAGTATCCACTTGGTAAATCAAGTTGTTTTTCTCATTGTCTAGTTGAGCATTGGAAACCATAGCTTTCTTGTACTTCTCTTCAACTTCAGCTAGTGAATCCTACAGATAGCAGAAAAGTTCACATTAGTTTAACTTTTTGATGCATGGTTATAATGTTAAAATACCACCATAATGTTAAAGTATGAGATGTTAGACATCAAAATTATGCAACCATTTTTGTTTCTGAAATATATTCTTTAGAGATACCAAGTAACAGTTTAGTTCCATTATTCAGCTTCAGTCATACACAACAATGAAAAGTTATCATTACAAAAGCATGAAAAATACAAGATAATATTCCACTTGCTTTTTCTACTCTGCCACATTCACAGCAACTCACAGGGATACAGTAATACTATCACAGCTTCACATTCTAGTGAAGCTAGATAGTAGTAATTCTAGTAGTAATATCATTGCTCTCAAGGCATGCATGACAAAAGGGTTCAGAATGAGGCAACAAATCTAACAGAGAGAATGTGGACAATTAAATCAGTAAAAGTGACCACAAAAATAATTCCAAGAGTAGCTTTAACTTAATGGTCATTATTTAAGTAGTGCCCTATGACCTTAGATTCAAGACTTTGATAGCCATATTACTCCAGTAAAAAACATTCGTTATTTAAACAGATATTTTATCTTTGATTTACTTACTAAATTTTTTTTTTAAAAAGCATGTAACTTGGTTCTCTACCTAAAAGTGTGCATGCCTCTTAGACAAATTTCCCCCATTTACTATTTTATCTTGATTTTGGCTATAGTTGGGTTTTTTGTCAGAGTTGTAACAAATGTCAACCATTTATAATTAGAAAACTATCATTCCAGGCACTTTTAAGCATGCCTTTATTTCAATATGCATTATATAGGGGTTAGGATTACATGATCTTTAAGGTCCATTCCAACCCTTTAACATTCTATGATTTAAAAATAATAAAAATTGATTTTCAGAGTCCTAATTTTAGAATTGAAAAAGAACTATTAAGCCAATACCTGGACAAAGTAGATCTATCCCCTACTACAAATCTCATTGTACTTCATTGCCTGTTCCTTGAAGATACAAGTAGCTCTATCTCCATTTTTAAATATTTATATTTTGATAGTAGAAACACTAGTACAGGAAGGGCATGAAGCTTGGGTTTCCAGAAAATAGAACACTAAAACTAATATATTGAGAAGGTGGCAGCAATCTAAGTTTTCTAAGAAAATACTTAAGATCATTATCTGTTAAACAGTAAAATTATGCAATCATTTTTGTTCTGGAATTACAGTCGTGTCTTCTCTTTATAAGTAACAAGTCACAGTTCAATATTCTGCTATAAGAAAGTAAAAAAATTCCCTATCCCCAAACACTATTCTGTGCACTATTCCATGTTGTAAACCTCCAGTTTGGGAAAGCTGTCCTTAGAGTATGTATTTTATATTTTATAATTTTATCATAATTACATGTATTTATTTCACTGAATTCTGGAAATGTCTGCTGGAGAAATACAATTTTTTGAAACCCCAGAAAAAATAATTACAGATCAGAAGAGACAAAACAGTGTAAGTTGTGAAAATATAAGACAAGTGCCATTATAGTCTAGGAAGCAGTAGGAAACAGCAAAGATGACTCAGGATAAGAAAAAAGAAAAAAAAATAAAAACTTAATGCATGGAAGTAATTCTGAAGACTAAAACAAGAGAAAGCATTTCTTTTTGTGATGCTGTAAATACAACAAATCTTGTAAAGACTGGCAAAACAAAATGCTAGAGCTAGCAAACCTAAAGACTTTCAAAGAATAATCCAGTTTAGAGTAGAAAAAAGGAAATATTAGGATTATAATGAATGCTATAGTAATTTCACAGGGAGGTATGAAATTTAACAAAAAAAATGCGACTAGGGAAGAAGTCCAATTTGATTATTTCTGTGAATGTGGTGACTGAGGTCATGTAGTAATTTAGTTCAGCAGAGATCCAGCTGGTCCAATCTCCTAACTAAAGAGGGTCAGCTGAGACCAGGCTGCTCACAGCTCATCTCCATTTTAAGTATCTCCAGAAATTTAGATTGCAGATGGTCAAACTTGCTGGATGACCTACACCAGTGTTTGCTTTCCTTGTGAAAACTCTTTTTTTCTTGAGTTCTAACTGGATTTTCTGCTCGTACAACTCAACTTTTGTCTGTTTTGTCTTTCCCTTGCAAAGAAGTCTGCCCTCAACTCTCCACTGCCTCCGATCAGACACTCTAAAAACAGCAACAATATTGCCAACCACTACTCCAAGATTTATCAAAGCCCATTGTCTCAGCCTCTTACTGTATGCCATGTGTTCCAGGACTCCAATCTTAAAAGACAAGACTAGGTTGGGGCTTAAAACATCATCTTAGAATGTCATTAATTAAAAAAAATAAGTTGAGAAAAAGGCAGTACCTTCCTAATTAAAAAAAAAAGAATCTCTATGGAATGTGAACTAACCTAGGAACATATTATTCTGTATTATCAACAACATAAAATCCAGTTCAATTCTGAAAGCCAAGCACAGATGATGTTCTTACTGTTGCACACTGTGCTCTTTGGTAACTGTAATGGATTACAGTAAATAATAATCCATTACACCACAAGTCAGAACAGTAATCACGAGATGCTGGCAAGCGCATCAAAAGTGAGAGTTAAATCCATTCTGAAAATATGAGGCAGTCTCACATTTATGTCTCATATGTCTATGTCTAATAATCTTGTAATCTACTACTCTTTGAAATGCTTTTAATATTTGTATGTCAGTATAACTAAACCAAAGCATACTTCATCTGAACATATTGCTATCAGGTTTAACGTTTCCTTTAAAGGTAAAGTTATACTTCAAAGAGGAAATAACTTTTGCAACACTAAACAGCTCATATTACATATCTTCCCCTTACTATATAAGCTAATGTATTGTTAAATTAAAGAAAATCAAGTAAGCTGATATATACATCACCATCACATGCTCTAATACAAGAAGCATTCATTTAATTCAGTCTCTATATGGATATAAAACATATGAACAGTTCTCTTTACTTTTACATGAAACACAATTACACAATAGAAAAGAGAACAGAACAAATGTCTGGAAAACATTTGTAAGCCCCATAATTTTTGAACTCTGTATCCCTTCAATATAAAACAGTGAAAAGGAGAATTATTTTAAATTTACTGCACTGTTAATTGTGTGAAGATGTATAAAAGAAAGGCATACATACTAATTTAAACAAGTAAAAATAGAGACAAATTTCCTGTGAAGACTACACCTAATACAGGTAGTTAGCTCAGTGTGCTGCTGCAGTACAAACTGCAGATTGCATCCTCGGTAGAGGGAAATGACTGGAGCTTCCAGCACGAGCAGTGATCGGGCACTGAGCCTTTGCACAGCAAGGTGCATGGGAACCTGTGGCACCAGCCAGGCAAGCGGCCACTCAGAGATACAAGGGGAGCCAATGGCTCAGCAGGAAGACCCTACACCCCTGTGTGCATGGACTGTGGAAACAAAAGCCCACGTATTGCTTGGTTCAGGGTCCCTGGTTGGCAGCACCCAGCTTGATCTCGAGCTGGTTTTGTGTGACTCTGCCATGATTAAAGTACTTAGAGAAATCAGATATCTGAGACTCTCTTATGGGAAACCTGTGGCAAATCCTGTAAGGAAACCTTGACTGACAATGTGAGAATGGTGTGTGTAGCCAGTCTAGTGCAGCACCCATTGACTCACTTGGTGACTCACTGGAGGGTTTTGTCCCCAGCAGTGAAAGTCTGGGGTGGTAGGAATGTGACTACCACAGTGGATACAGGATTGCCAGACAGGAAAGCTTCCTTAGCACTCATTAGCCTAGCATTGAAAAAACCAATCTGTGATTTAGAGAAAATAATGAGAATACAAACTAGCATAAATGTTTTCTTTCATGACAAAGAATTAAAACAAAATTCATTTTCTCCTGCAAGCAATATGCCTGCCAAAATGATTTGCAGCACATCTTTCAAAATTATTATTTTGGTTTTGCTTTCTAATATGAAGTATTTGCTGAAACCTGGAGGACTAATTCTTAAGTTCTTTGCCATAATTATCTCCCATTTCTTTGTTCCCCACTTAATATCTAGTAATTATTTTGTACATCTGTTTCTTTGTTAACAAAATTCTAAAAATATAAACTGAATGCCTCATTTTCTTATCAGAAAACACCTATATATATATATATAAAAACATCAAAAAGTATTAACTCTTCTAACTGTAATCAAATAATAAACATGCAATCTCATGTACATTTTAAGCTGATGCTCTTCATGCATTAAAAGTTAAATACATGCTTTAAAGAAATTTTAAAAATTGTTAGCAAAGCCACTATACGTTAGTGAAACTGGTGATAACTCCATTATGCAAAATACCCATTCAGAATGCATGCTTGGGAGAAGCCCTGATACCTTTAATTCTTTAAGTCCCTGCATGTATCTCCCTTCTACATCATGTATCTGGTCCTTAAGATCATAGATATCCTGCAGGACATAGGAAGGAACCATTGCATAAGAAGTATGGGGAAATAATTTAAAGTTAAAAAAGCATTAAAAGGTTTACATGCACTTTGTCAAATGACAAAGCCTGCAATAATTCCCAGAAATTAAAATTGATGGAAATTAAGGTTTTGTTTATAACCCTAACTCCAAGGCATCTCAAATAGCACAGAATTGTTTGAAATTCAACATAAATAAAATCTTATCTTAATAAGCCAAACTTTTAAACCATAATTAGGAACACAAACCAAGATAAAATACCAAGAAGGTAAAAAAATACTTCATTATTGAAAATTACATCCTCATAGCATTTTCTTATTATAATATAAATTCTCTATTAAAAACAATCTTCCTATTTAAACTAGCTCCAAATTCTCTAAAAATGCAATTCACCCGTAATTCACTGAGGGAGGCATCAGGATCCAGCAAACTGCTTGCATCTCCACTTCCTCTCCTAGATGAGTTGCCACTCTGAGGAGCTGCACTTACTGCATTGCGAGATGAGGGCTTAAAAAAGGGAAAAACATTGTGTCAGGAATCATATGGTTATTTCTGGTATACTTGATAATACTCTTTGTAAATTTCTTGAAAGTCACAGCATGGCTTTCTCTCTTGTTTTTCTTAATATTAGCTTACAGACAGTATTTTCCATTGAGTATTTTCCAGCACCTGTGTTTTTTCTTGGTAAAATGTTGGTTTCTTGTTGATGACTTAGTGTACCAGAACATTAGAATTCTGAGTCATCTATCCAGAAGATAGTCATAAGATGGATAATAATGCTGAAATACTGTAGACATTTACAATATTATTATTATAATTCTGTCATCCAGGATTCAGAAGAAAGCCTATAATGAGAATCTATCATATGGATTTTTATAGCCTTAGCCTCCTCAATTTTAGCCTTTCCTGATAAGTATTTCTCACATGAAAAATAAATTGTATAGAAAATTATTATTGGCCAAAAGTAAACTAAAGAATAAATTTTTTCACTCAAGAAATAAAAAGCATAAACCATTAATTCTGGACAATAGCAAATTATATCTAAAAATATTTTTGCAAGCTAACCCTGAGAAAAAATACAAAGAATACACTGAATGTATACTTTTTGAATTATTTCAACACTTGCGAATTTGTGAATGAACACTGACTTTAAATAATTTTAAAAGAGTTTCTAAAATTAAAAAGTCTTACCCTTGAAAATATTTCTGAATGTGATTTTTCACTCTTTTCTTCCAGCTGAAAGAGAATTGGGAACATGATTACCTTTTGTAATAAGGAACTACCAAATTAGCATAGTTTGTTCAAAGAGACAGAAATATTTTTAAATAAAACCATTTTTAAAATTCCAGATGTTAGCATAGACCAAGACAGGAAAAATAATATTTAGCTTAAAAAATAGTTTTTACCTCAACTACAAAATAAATGTAAAGAAAAAAGCTTGTAAATAAAAAAGCCAGAAACTTTTCTTATTTAAAATGTCATTACCAGTACTGAGCAACAAAACATGTTTACTCTTTTAGATTGCAAGTATATATGTAAATATATATTTCAAGTAGTATTTAAATTTCAAGAGTAATCACTACAATACTAGATGGCATAACAGATGCAAAGCTTCATGCAGGTACCCATTTAAGGCAGTCAGTGACAGCAGGGTGAATGCCCTAGTTATAGAAAACACATCTGTACATTCAATCTCTTTAATGTCACCTGTGATTACATTACAATAAAAACTGGTTCAGGTAAAAGTGTATAACTGAAGTGTACTAAGTAAAAGCAATCTACAAAATAATTTCAATTCATATTTTATCTACTGTAGACTAAGGAAAAGAACTACCACACTCCCTTCTTAGTTAGGAAACTGCTATTGCAAAATTATATTGTAGATATCCACATTTTCTACATTTCTGTGAATCAAAATAGGTGGGATTAGACATGTATTTAGTATGGTATCACACATATCTTGCTTCTCAAAGAACAGCTGTTTTTCTCTATGCCAGGAATAAGTTTTGAAAGTCTACTGCAATCACAGAAGAAACAAACACTAGTTGATAGGACTTTTCTTTTTCCTTCTGTTAAGGTTTCTATAAAAGCAACATTGCTTCTTTATGACAAATTCACCACATCCAGTGATGTACTAAAATTATAGATTGCAAATATTTGTCACCAGCATGATGATAGAATGATATGAAGAATCCAATTGATCTGAAGGATACATTTGATTAACCTAAATAAAATTATAAATTTCGAATCTAATAGTAAATAATGATGATAACACAAGCAACTGAGAAGGCAACATAACTCAGTCTCAGCCTCCACATTTATTTTAGCAGAGCATTAATTTCAGAAAGTCAGCTTTATTATGGGGAAAAAAGAGCTAAATTTTAAGCTGGAGAAATAATTAGTCTCTCATGATTTGAGAATGTATAGAGGATAAATAACATTAATTCTATATTAATTATATATATATTATATATATATTAAATATATACAATAAATATATATATATAAATATATATATAACTTATACAGCATTGTAACAGTATTAAAATATCATATAAATGCGAAGTCACAAAGTGGCTGCGAGAGTAGTCTAGCTCTCAGTCTCCCATTTAAAGGAGAACCACAGCCAACAGCTGTGGCTTGATCTAGCAAAGTGTCACCAGCTCCTGAACACAGAGGCTCTGCAGCCTTGCTGTAACCTGACAGACTGCAACTGTCCTTGTGGAGCTTCTTGGAGTGTCTGGTCTGAAGTCCTAAACTGCAGTGTGAGGTTGCTGGCCCTTGTTGCACTGCTTGGCAAGGGCACAAAGACTTTGGCTCTCACCTACACAAGCAATTACACACTGCTGATCACCACAAACCATTCCTTTTGCTCAATTAAATAAACACCTCCTCTAAGCCTCTCTGCCTACCCACTGCATGTGCTAACCCTAAATGCTATTTCAAAAGATATACCTAAGAACAGAAATTTGCCTTTTACTCCATGCTATTAAACACAAAAGTTTTGCCTGCAAGTAACAATAATTTTTAAGAAGTTACAGCAGCAAGAAAGAGAAGGTGGCTAGGTTTGGTATAAACAATGGTCAGCCTAAAGGGAGCTGCACAGGAAAACTATCACGATAATTTTCCTGTAACATGATCTGTTGAATGACATGGGATTCTGTACAAGTGCACAGCCAGTAAGGAGTGCTTCAGTAATGGATTCTGAAAAAATCTCACATGGGATGAAGGAACACTAAAATGCACTAATGCAGGCACAGTTCTAAGTATTTTTGTCACGAAAAGAAATAATAGTATTCCAAAAGTACACAAAAACTTCCCTAGCACAGTTAATTTCCATTAAAAAAAAAGAAAAATATTTGTGTCTTTAAAAGATTGCTAAGCTTATCACACACACACAAAATTGTGAAGTGTTACACTTGTCACATGCTTCTAACAACAGGCAAAATCTCCTTTAAAATAAGGATCATGCTTTTTAAAATCTCAGTGCATTTTTATATGAAAACAAGCCCCAACTCCACAACAAACCAATTTTCATTTAAGTAATTTAGAATGCTTTAACAGTATTTACTCTTCAGAGTATGAAAAGAAAATCCATGGTTTTGCTGTATTCACCATAGTGTAAATAAAAGCATTACACTCACACTATTCAAAACTTGGCCATAATCTGCATTCGAAACAATGCTTCCCCTGTGGCTGGAACGACTGAAATAATCAGCAGTAGTTTCACTTTGATCAGAAAAATCAGAGGACTTCAAAAGAGAAGGAGAAGGTGAAAAAGAACTGAATATGACATCACTGAATGAACAAAAGTTTATTAAAAACAAAAAAAATCCTACCTTAAATCTCTATTATTGCACTAAAAACAATGAACATTTTTATTGATTTATCATTGTCAATTAGAGTAATATGAAAAAAAGAAAAACAGATACCAAAGGGTTTACTATTAATTTAGGGTCAAAAACAAACTACAAAAATTTCAAAAAGTTTGCAGATCATAAAAGACAAATTATATAAACTGATCAATAAAAATTATTTCTCTACAAATGTTGTCTTTTTTCAAATCAACACAAACCAAATGGTGCCAGCTATAATTTGGGCTTCTTCTCATTCCTAAGTTTAAGACGTCTTACACTAGAAGGCAAAATTACTCCCCAAAGATGTATATCAGTCTGGCACCTAAAAAGGTGCGGGAAAATGCTAGTGCTACACATTTCTTGTTAAAAAAGGCAAAATGTATCTACGTGCAATTACATCTGCCATGGGAATTCAAATGAAATATTCAACTGAGAAACATTATGCATGTAAAACACAACATTAAATGGGAAGAGTGGGTTTATCATAAGTTTATTGATAACATTCTACTTCAAAAGGTAGAAAGTTAAAACTAAATACAATGTTCACAGTGAAAGTGATTATAGGAGAAAAAATCCTTCTATGAACAGTTTGAAAATATATTATTCTTACCCAATTCTCACGATCAAAAAAAATCTTCATACTTGATCTATGTGATTAAAAGCTAGTAAGATTGTCTAAAAGTTACATATATAACTGGCATACAAAAACCAGTTTACTGATGAACATCTAGCTCAGACTATGCTATTTGAGGACTACAGAATTTGTATTTGTTGTCACTGCTATGTTATGTTCTACTTCTCTGACAACAAATTTTCCAGCTATTTTTCACCTACATCTATATTTAAACCAATATCTTAATTTTCATTAAATGTAGCTAGCTAGGTAAATTTTGATAGTTGGAAATTTGGCTAAACTTTCCTATTGCACTTGCATTTCACAAAATATAGAGATACTGAAGAGAATTATTCTTATTTATTATGATCACAGCAAAAGAACAACTCAGGCTACAATCTATGACAGTACTGGTCTATCATCCAAAATCCACTTCTCTTGGCTGTTGAGAAGTCCATATACCTAATAAACCTTTCTGTCCCTCCTGCTATAATTTTTGTAGTCCTAGTATCTTTCCCAATGGGTTCATCAAAACTGATACACTTTAAGATGGAGAAGCATCACATTGTTTCTCTCAAGTGTTTTCTACCTTTTAGATCTCTCCTACTTGCTCTTCTGATTTTCAGAGAGAACTAACCTGACTTCTCCAGAGTAAAACCAAAATACAAGCCACAGAAACAGTAGGCAGTAAATTCTTAATAAGATTTTTACATCATCAGATTTTCAGGATTATTTCATTAAACAAATTCTTTGAACTCTATTAAGCATTCAGTAGTGTGAGTGAATATACATTGGCATTATTGGTTTAACATATACACAGTGAGATCTGATATATATATATATATTCCTATATATATTAAAGTATATACTTTTAAGGAATTATCTTAGTGTTAAGAAAATCTAAGGAGACAAGTTTTCACAATGCAAGAGACTACATAGGTATGTCAATACTTGTCACATTTTAGAACTTCATAAAGCAAAGTAAAATTACCTTTTTCCTACACCCTCGAAAATTCACTCTGATATCTCTTGTAGCTAAAAACATTAGTTTCTGACAAATGTGGTTTTATTTGTTTAATACATATAACACTGTTAATATGTGAGAAATTTAAAAAAGGACCAAACATTGCAATTTAGTCCATTCTAGAACACTGATAGCTTATTTTGTTTTGTGTGGCATGACAAATGAGCAGCTATACCAATGAAACTTAGACAATTGTTCTGCAGCAGAAGCAAAACAAAACTCTCTAAAATCACTTTGCAGTACAAAGAGCCAAGTTTAGAATGACACTTTTAATACAATACAGACCCAGAAACAAATTTCTCTCATTTTGTATACTGGTTATCATAAAAATGAGAAAACTTTTTACTACATGATATAACAGTTTCCATTAACCCTCTTCCCCCCCAAAAAAAGACTTTTCCACAGGTACTGTAGTGTGTTTCATGTGCTTGCTCCATCTATTGACATAGGGTGGTATCCCCAACAATGTGCTATACTTCAACTAAAGTACAACGAAACTAGTTGTTTATTACAAACATTAAAAAGATATTTAGAAAAACAAATTCCTTCTACAGTTTACTGTCTTAATGCTAAATATTTACATCTTGCTAAAAACCACAACTCTTACAAATCAAAACTTCTTATGTGGAATGGAAAAATCAAATCTGTGTGTTGGTCAGTGAAACAATCCCAAGTGGACATACTCATAACTGCTGATGTGTTAATATCAAAGCATTCATCAAATCATGCATAGGAATGCTCACCACAGGACTACTTCGGACTGAGCTTGCTCTTGAAGAATAACTGTATTCAGATGGCTAAAGAAAAGTTATGAAGGACACTTTCACAACTTGCATAGATTTTTGTCTGCAGAGAACAAAGATAATGAAAGAAACAACCAGAGGCCTATTACACTAAGAGTGCAAGAACTATTTGAGTTATGTCATCCATCACCACACAACAAGGCCTGAGAAAGAAGGAATGAACACCATGTATAGCCAGTCAGCCATTATTATGCCACACTCATATGCTGCAATTCCTATGCAGAATCATGTACTTTCTTATCCTCTGTGTTTCCAGTTAGTAGGATACTTTTCGTGTAAAAAAATTATTTAAGAATCTCAGCAGCATTTACTATTACTACGAGGCATATCTATTTCCATGTGTCACTAAGAATTCCCTTAAAAAACAGCCAAATACTTTTAAAAAATCAAATCTTAACTAGTTGCATAACTAAATTAAACATTTAAATTGCAATTTGGTTTTAACTGCTCTGAGGCCTAGAGACGTTTTAACACACCCTGGGAACTGCAGCTATGCTGTACACTTAGCAGTTTTGTTTTATGGTCACTCATGCACATTCTCCTGAAAGAGCTATGTTTAAAGGTGCAAGGCTGAAATCTATTTATGCAGTGGATAATAAACGCAGCTGAGAAACTCAACTCAAAAAGAAAAAAAACAACGTTTCATGCTGCTTTGTCCCTCCCTATGAAGAAACCTCCAGCAAAAATTAGAATTATATACGTATCAGAGTTATCTGTAATAGCAGTCTTTACTGTATTGTTGTATTGCTCACTGAATCTTCTAATATTTTCTTGAGAACATACACAAACTCAGAAAAGGTAAATCATCTATTTGTAATCCAAGTGCAAAAGAAGATCTCACTAACTAATTAAATACACTACATAATATTTGATGATTTTTTACATAGGTTTAGCATGTCTCTAAATGGAACTGTAAGATGGATTTGAACTACTATAGCAGCAAAACGCAACGTTTCAGACGTTCATGCCAGTTTTTAAAGATAATTTTTTGCAGAGCTACCTTAGCCATTCTTATGGCACTACTAGATACTCTTGATTTTGTAAAGATGCAGATTAGGTTTTCATGCTATTAAATTTAATACACATAAAAAATGTAAATATGGCATCCTGTTTAAAAGTATTCAAGGTGTATTTACCACAAACTTCAGTAATCTCCCGATTTCGATCCAAATGCTTAAATTTTAAAATATTGTTTTTAGTATTAGACATGCAGTTGTCATTTAGTGTGCTTGAATTAACTTAATAACCCCAGTGCTCTTCAACATCATTGTTGCATTCACCAGATTTATGATTGTCTGTAAAAAGAGCAGTAAAACAGCAACTACTAAAATACTTTTAAGAGGCAATTTAACAACATTAAGAAAATTAAACTGAATGCCTCCAAAAAATTTCACACAGAAAATGCTACTCTAAAAATATCCCAGAAATGCACATGTAATACCGTTGAGCCTCATGGCCATACAATACACATTTAAGGCAACCATGCATAGGGTGCTTACAAAATAAACTTGTATTTCTCATCAAACCAGTGTTTAAAGGAGATGCCTATGAAGAAAAGTGTAATTTTATATTTATATTAGGCCAAACATCTAAAGATAAGTTAAGATATTGCTTTATATTGTACTAACCCTGTAACTCCTAGCTGGTGCCACTGGATCACTGTATAGAGAAGACGACTATAATGTGGAGAACAGAACAAGTCAGAAATACTTTTTCTGCATACATAAATTTTTAAATTTATGTTCTATAGTCCACAGAAGTCCTAAAGATTTAAATACTAAATTTTAATCTATCTCTAGTAGACAGAAACTTCCAGGAAGGGCGCCTCCAGAAAAGCTTGTTATCTTTGAAATCAATTTAAACATTATTAAACCAATCCAGTATTTTTTCAAGTAGATTCGTGGAAGAGAGTGAAGAAATTAAGTAGTTCTCAAATAACATGTCAGTTTTCTCTAGCTAGTTATTTAAGCCTGGCCATGACCACAGCTGCAGGTATTGGAAGATATTACTCATCTCATAATATATCAGCATTTTATAATTTATATTGAGATGGAAAAAAGCACTGCAATGGTGCTAAACATCTAAGACTTTTTTTTGTTATTTTTAAAAGACAACAATTTGAAACAGCAACTATCACAGCTGCCACTTGCTTTCTGTATATCATACAGAATCATGAAACAGAAGTTAGTTTAAATTTAAAACCTCACATGCGTAACAGAGTAATCTGCATGTTACACATTAATTTTATAAAACACAACCTTTACAAGCAAAAAATACAACTGTTACCACTTTTAACTGTAATAATTGCAAGTGTCAGAGAGATAAGTTAGTGTCATATGGCATAAGTAAGCAAAACCACATATACGTATTTTATATAAATAATTAAATTAATATAGAAAGAGACAGACCCAAACACGGTAGGAAGGAACTGGTTTACTATATCCAAGGCTGCTATAGTTTCTTTGATCATAGTAAATTCCACTCTGAGGGGTGAGGAAGGAAAGAAGAGAGAAAACAAAGGTTGCATCTGTAGCTCTTGCAAATGAAAGTTTTGTCTTAACATTACCCAAGTGTTCCCAAGCTTACACCTCGTGCAGAATGCTGTAAAGTCTTCCCTAATGTTGACCCCAAATCCATGTATCTTTCTAAAGTAAGTAAATAATAAAAGCCTCAAAACTATTATGTACTTTGTATATCAGCATTAACTGTATTTCTATATGCTCAAACAAAATAGTAAATAATTTTGGTATTTTTCCTCCATAATAAAATAAAAATTCCAAAAGCTTGATAAGTGCAGCAATGCATGAAAAACATAACTGAAAGGACTTGCTAATAATTAGTACAATTATTTACTTTTTTACATTAGATACCATTATGAATCAAAGTATTTTGGAGAGAGAGAAGGACAGAAATATCTGATAACTGAATTGGGGCTGGATGCTTATGTGACACTAGCATAGCCTGTACCCTTACCACTATTCTTTACACCAAGTGTGCATACTGGAAGTCTAGCAATTATATTTTGGCTTATTTCTGTTGGGTTTTGACATTCTCTACACAAATTGCATATATATGCACATGTGAGGCAAAAAATTCATACACACATAAAAAAAAAAAAAAGAAAAACCAGACAGATAAAAACATGGCAAAAAGTAATGCCTGCAGAATACAGCACTTCTTATCTCAAAAGGCAACAGAAAGCAGAAATATTCATATTGCTCATTTGTTCAGGAACTACAGGAACAGGAAAAGAACACTTCAAAAACACATAGAGAAATGCTGTAATACAATAATAAGTAAATACAAAAGTACTTCAGCCTAGTCTCAACACAAACATCCACTGCTGTTCTAACCTGAACCGCCCCCAACCCCTAATGCAGTTGCTAATTCATCAGTACCAAAAACTGTCTGAAAAATTATATCCAAAATATTTCATTTATCGACACTATATTCACATGTTAAACACCAAACTTCCTGGAATAGTTTCAGCACAATCAAAATAAGCCTCATGCCTTTCTCAATAAGTCACTGGATTAACATCAAGGTCTATGGCAAATTCAATCTGCTGTACATCTACACCTGAAATGTTTCTAACTATGTGACAGGGGGACAAAGCGGGAGTAATAGGACACATATCTCCATCCCAACTGAATAAACATTAATCCAGAGAATGCCACCTTTAAATAGTTCCAAGAACCTTTTCCAGGCCTCCATCAAAAGAAGATTTCTATTCAGCTGATTCCATTGATGGCATTGCACTGATACGAAAGCAGCTTCAAACACAAATTGGAGGTCAGAATCTGATCAATATGAGGGGTTTTTTTTCCCTAAAAACATTTATGCAAATGTCAGGAAGCTAACAAGTTTCTCCATGATGCTACACACTTAGTATATTTATAAGGAATATTATACTAGAAAACTATCCAATAAACCTTTATGGGAATAAAGAGCTTTCTCCTTTGAACTTTGAGATTAACTGTAAGCATGACTCCAAGAATGAAATTTAGAGAATTAATAACACTATATAACAGCATCTTAAATCTTAAAATATAAATAAGACAGACATAAGGACTTAAGGGTTTTATCACCTAAAACAGAAACAACACAGGAAATTCTAACTACCTAATTAGAAAAAAATAGGCCACGCTTCTATCACTGTGTTAAAAACAACTGGCAAGTGAAACTATAATCAACCCTATTCTCATTAATATAGGTTTGGATTAAAGCTAGTGCTCACATTTTATAGAATTTAAACCAATAAACAAACTAAAAAAGCTTAACAATACAGACTAATTTAAGCACTATATTGTGCTTGCCTATCTGCTAGCTAATTCAGATAACACTGCTATTTAAACAAATACAGCTTTTTAAGCTGCTTAAATATTCCTTTTGGTGGTACTCGATGCTTGCCTCTTATGAAGAAACACAGATTTTACGTGGCATAATACCATTGAGAATGTGATGCCATCTACTATCACTTCATAAAAATACGATAGATGTCTTTTAAGTAAATATATACAAACCAGTTGCATATTCTCTGGACTGAAATAACTTCCCATTAGATTAAGTTAAAATTTTTATACAGTAATGGAGAATACAAATAGATGTATACACACTTTTCCTCCCCAAGGATATCCTCCAAGTCTAATCTGTATGGCACTTTACAGCAAAGTTTAGAAATAACAACTAAATGCTAGAAAGTGCTTGCTGTAAGACAGGTGTCTTTTCTCCCTGAAAAAAAAATTATACATGTAGGCTACAGAAAGTATTAGAATTACAAAAGTATTCTAGGTCTGAACATGTGATGGTACCAATTTATATACTTTTTAAAGTCAAGAATTTAAAGTCATAGTTAGTACCATTACATCTTAGAAACAAAGCACAAAAACAGTCTTCCCTCAAAGCCATGCAAAGTATTAACATACAGGGACCAAATATCTTGCAGATCTATCCTTAGTGTCATCATACTAAAGTAAAAGAAAATTAAAGTGAAAATCACAATGTTAAAAAAATTAAATTGCTTTTATTTCAAAGAATGACTAAAAATACTTACAAGAAAATCGCAAGAAAACATATTCTACTAATAATGAAAATTTCAACATGAAAGAATAGCCATTTATCATGATCTGAAGTGCATTCTGAGGCTGGACCACCTAATAAAAATTAATCTTTTTCCCCAACAGCATCCCAATTTATGAAAAGTGAGATAATTTTAGACAGCATTACACTATGTGAAATATTTAATGTGATTTTAGTAATAGAATTTTAAATAATTAAGCCAAGTCTTATATGGTAGATTTCATTAAACAGAGACAGCATTTACAAGGTTATGCAACAAAAGGCTTATCTCCACACAGGCAAAGCACTCTAAAGGAACATCAGCCTCATTGTTAAGCTGTGCAACTCACCATGATGCAATGACCTTCCATGGCACCTTAGGCTCAGGAAGGTCACTGCCTATGGGGTCCAGGGCATGAAAGACTTTACAGGAGGAAGGGAAATAGTATTTTGCAATCTGGGAGGAATTAAAGCTGGGAACAGAGGAATTAAGTGTTTTCAGGAGGAGCAAATACATCCAGTATTAACAATATATTAAATGACATTTTAATATTGTAGATGTAATGTACAGACTATGGTCCCTTTTTGTTTTACTAAAAGTATTACCTACAGGATCCATAAGTCACTGGATCAGTTTTAATCAACTTATTTATTTTTTAAAACAATTTCTGTCTCTAATTATTACCTCCAATAAGCAACCTTGCTATCAGAGAATGAAGACAGATCACTCACTTATCATCCTGACATTTAACTTATACTTTTTATAACTATTAACAGTTTAACAGTCTACTAAAAAAGGTTTAACTTGCCTAAACTAGGAATACCACAAATATATAGAAATGCCCATTACTGAAAAGGCAAAATTTCTGTATTTCAGCCTTGTCTGTTGTTCTAAAATCACAGCGTAAAAGAGAAAATGTTTCCTGTTGTAACTTTCAATAACATATTTGTACCTATCGAGGCTGATGGACAACCTTTTCCATTTTATTTTAGTTCTCTACTGGGGACATTGGGAGAGAATGACTGAAGAGATGAATTCCCGTCACATCTGTAAATGTTCTTTCTTTCAGCTTTCACATTTGCCATCACAAACTAGTTGATTACATCAATCATTGCAGCATTAATACCATGTTCTATAAGCATGCTTTCACCAAACTACTGCTTTGGTAAGTAGAGAAAACGTTACAATGTGAACACATCACACTAAGTAAAAAGTGTGCTCATTCCAAGTTACACACCACAAGAGCTCTCCTTTTGGAGGTACTTGCTCTGCTCCTGTGAGATGCGCTGACATCCGAGGAACACTTGAGAATGATAATATAAGAATATATCAAAATATGAAATAAATTTTAAAATTTAATTCTATTACTCTTCACTAAATGACAGAAAATAACCAAGGCAGTCAAAGAAATTCTAAGTAAGCCCTCCAAATCTGAGCTTAGTTATCTGCCCAATTCAAACCCTCTTGTTTAGACAACAGCCAATTACTTAATATCCATCTTAGCATATTTGCTATGTCAGCCAAGACAAGAGCAGATCTGAGCAAATCTGTACCAGCTCACAAGTTTCGAAGAGTTGCACATAGCATATTTTACATGTTTTCTTGATAAAGCATTTACTGTTCAAAATTATTTGGTAAAAATACCTGTGTGGCAAATTGCAGAAATACTTAACACTAGGACTTGCATGACATTACACACAATTCAGTTAATCAAAAACTACATTTAATTGCAAAGACCTCTTAGCAAGTCATAATCACCATTTTTTAAAGTCACACAAAGAAACAGCTCATTCCAACTTCCAAAATACAAAACCCAACCCTTTTATTTTATTAATTTGTAACTTTCCTGGCCTCTACACCAAGATCAATGACCAGCTGATTTCTAGGCAGATCCAAGACCGGGAAAATGTTAACATAACCTCAATAAAACTGTTCTTTAGCAATAGATATCTGGCCTAAAGATGATATAAAAGAGCTTATACAAAAATATTTTTGTTAGCAGACTTTGGGATACCTTACATAATTTGGCTAAATATTTTGCCATTAATGAATAATATATTCCCAGCTCCTCCAAGAAAGAGATTCTTGCATCACACCAAACTCTTCTTCAAATTGTATCTTAAGGTACTGATACCTTTTCTTTAACAAATACTACAGACACACAGTAATGCTCAAAGTGCAAGAAAAGACTGGAAGATTGAAACATAAAAATAAACTACCTTTTTAACATCGATGGAAATAAAACACCAGATGAACTTAAACATTATATGTTACTTAAATGACTAAAACTGCAAATAACTTAGGAGACTTGAAGCTTCATCCTCTCCATTAGAAAAAGAAACCAGACTCTAAACCCTTTTTTCCTTTGGTTTGGTTTCTGAAGGCTATGATAAAAAAGTATACAGTTTGAACACAAACCAAAAG